AAAAGAAAAAAAAAAAAAAAAAGAAGAAACATGCATTTTTAAGAATGCATTAATGTGAAGAAAGATGAGAAAATAATTTAGCTGAGAAAAATTGTCCTACTTTTCTGTCAAAAATATAATGGTCCATCGTATACCTAATTTTCTTTTTTCTTACCAGGTAACTGACGTGCCAATGTAAACAGAGTCGTGTCATTGGCCACATAGCAAGACGTGAAAAGCAGGGCAGCCTCCTTCTTGTGTATCTCTGCCAGCTTTCTCTCCAATTCCTCATGATAGCTGCTTGTACCCGAGATGTTTCTGGTACCTCCAGCACCTACTCCATGCTTATCAATGGTTTCCCTGTAGATACATGTACAAAAATGTTGTGTTATTCAATACATGTACAGGTAGTTTCACCCCGCATGAGTAATGGTGATCTTAGTATTCCTTATATGAGGTCTCCTACACCATAACAATTAACACCATTTGTCTAGGACTGAGGACACTCCTTTTTGTTTCTCTTCAGGAATTGTCCTCTTACTAGAGGCTACAAATTTGGTATGAAGAGAGCCCTTAAGTCAAGGTTACAAATTTGATGGTCTGTAGCCAAGACAAGTACTCATGTCATTTACAAAAGGGATGTTCTTGTCAAGTCAAAAGTTTATGTTCATCTCTTGCCAGGACCATAACTAGAGAGACAGGATGGTCTAAATTGTTTTCAGCACACATTGTAATTTATCTCTTTTCCATCATTGTAAATGAACAAATAAATGTTACAAAACACCACTCCTGAGGTTGTTGTTTCTGGTGAAGTTAAGTCAAAATGAACACTCCTGATATGTTTAAAAGCTCACCTTGCAGTTTTCAAAACCTCTGGATGTCGGCTCATCCCAAGATAGTCATTGCTGCACCACACTGTCACATCCTTGCCTTCAAGGGAGTTGCTGTAATCTTTGGCCTGCGGAAATGTCTCAGCCAAACGGTTCACCCTCTTAAAAATACGATATGTATTGTCTTGCTTCTTCTTCTCAATCTCACCCAAAAAGAACTGCTCATAGTCAAAGTGAGACTGGAATGCTTCGATGTTAGGTGCAGGGCCTGTATAAAGGAATGGTTCACTTTGTAACCAAAGATGCAACTGATTCAACAAACAGTGCACTAAGTCAATAATTATTTAAACTAGAAAGAAACCTGAAACCTACAGGTATAGTTAACATTGAAAACTTTGTTGGGAATATTGAATACAAGTCTGTCATGCTGTTATTGCCCTTTCTGCCTTTTCACCCAATTAAATCTACTGCAAAGGCTCTACACAGGTACTTTTCCTTCCAAGATTGCAATTGTGAGGATACTGGCCCTAGTAATATTCAGTAGACACTTGCAAAACAATCCTAAAAATAAAGTGATACAGACCCAAAGACAAAATTTAATACCTTGGACACCAAGAGGCATCGTGACCATCTGCCGTACACCACTGGGCTGGGGAAAAACATTTCCCACCTTCATAGCAGGGGTTGGATGGATGTTCTTCAAAGCATCAACAACTGCCTTGCCACTTGAGAAAGGGCACTTCCCAGCTGAAAACAAAAGACACATCAGATTTGTACCCTGAGAAACAGACACCTCTTATCAGAGGAGCAAAAGAGTGACACTCTGGAGGCTAGTCAAAAACTCTTTGTTGATTAGCCTGCTTAGCAGGTGTAACAGGGAGGAAAATGGGTCATTTTTTCCCATCATTTTACCTCCCTCCTATCCATTTAGTGCCCTGGAAAGTTGACTAGTCAGTAACTTGTTGTCTAGAGAAGAAATTGGTGTCATAAAACCATTTCACAGGAACAAGTCAAGTACCAAGAGTTCATGTACATGTACATGTCTGTACAAACTAATGTTACAAAGCCAGTTATTTTATCTTAACATGTTGTCAAAGGACAAAGTGGTTTTAAATAAAAGCAGTCACTCGATTTTGCTAACAAAGTCATTGACAAATAATTACCAGAGTCCACAGTGGTCTCCTTCTTGCAAGCTCCTTCTTGGTAGTCACATGCACAGGCAACAAACTCATCAGCCTTCAACTTAGTCACTTCAGCAGTTGCATTGTGCATAAATGGACACTTACCAGCTGAAAATACCAAGCAGAAAGAAAGCTCAAGATGAATTTATGCTATTAGCTCCAAGCTCAAAGTATTATATTTCATTCTTTCATTTTATCGTTCTATTTTTATTTTTATTTACACTTCTTACAAAAGTAATAGGGCTACTTACACTACTTAAATACTAACATGGCTACAGTTTACTCTCACCTTGCAGACAACCTGCTATTACAGACACCTCGCTATTAAGGACAGAAGCTACTCTGTAAATCCCTGGCCGAAACCACTAACAAATGTATAAAAGCAACTCTCACTATTACTGACTCTCATTATAATGGAATTGCAGACACTTTGTGTGGTCCCAAACTAACATTTTTTTGTTCTTCCCCACTAACAATGGACAAGCTGGACTTAAAACCCATCAAACCCATGACCCTACAATAATGGTGTAGTGCTCTAGCCAACTGAAGCTCTCAAGCCAATGGGGAGCTGGGTATTATGTGGTGTATGATGGACTTTCTTCTAATTAAATCTCTATTCTGCAGTTTAAGAAGGAATCCACCAGAAGTTCGAGTAACAAGTGGGCAAAAGCTTTGTACCAAGAGTATTTGCATAGTGTAGCAAACTTCTGTTCGACTGTTTTAAATATCTTCTCAAAAAAAAAAAATTTCTAATAACATTAAATGTCGAAAACAAATTTTGAAGGTGATATGAAACACTTGAAAGTACTAATGGAATCACACTGGTAATGAAATTTTACCTGCATTTGCACAATTTCTCGAAACTTTGAAATTTATTTTCCCAAGTTCCTATGGGAAATTGTTTTTGGGTTTATTTCAGGCAATTATTTATAGCTTTAGCTTTTAGAAAACGCAAAAAAGGATTTTATTATACTTAACATCATTCTCGTACAAGAATGTTGTCCACCAAAAACTGAAATTACTTGATTTCCTATCAGATTCCATTTTAATATATGAACTTTGTATATAGAAGATATTACATGCCTACACGTGGATATGAATTTTATGTGTGCAACTCAATATCTCATGAGTGAGCACAGCGAACGAGTGAGATATTAGTTGAACATGAGAAGATAAAATTTGTTTCCACAAGCAGGAAAGTAATATTCTGTTTATTACATAAACATACTAATGACAAAGTTTTCGACAATTTTCCAAAGATTTCCACCCACTTTCCAAAGATTTTCCAAAACTGTTCCGAAAGCCAGACGAACACTTCCAAACATTTTCCAAACATTTCCTGCAGATTACTGAAGATGACCTGAAGATGTTTTGATCATACATCAACCAATTTAAGTGTAGTTAAAGGAAAAAAAGAAAAATGTCATCAAAAAGGAATGATATCTTCAGTGTGAAGGATAAGAATAGTATCTTCACTGCACAGGATGAAGATATGATTTTTTAGTAAAAGGAAAAATCCTGGTATTTCACTAGTGTTTATATAATAAATCTACTTTGATAGTCATTACGAATCCACATAATACCCAGCACCCAGATGGCTTGATAGCTCAGTTGGTTGGAGCACTGCACCAGTATCACTGGGTGATGGGTTTGAATCCAGTTCAACCCTGAATTTTTTTCAGGCTTTATCTCAACTACTTGCAATGGTTAATTAAATCTCTATTCCACAGTTCCAATATATGAATATCATATATTCCATTTCATGTAAACCAAATATCATTTAACAAACAAAAACATGCTGCTGAACGAAACTAAATTGAATGACACTTTGCCATTTTGCTTCCATAATCACTATTTTTTGGCACATTCATTGTTTCGGGAAAACACCAATATTAGCTTAACCCCAATTTGCACCTTATTTACATTCCATAAATTTAATAGCGACACCACAGATGAGTTCCTTTGTTTTCTATTTTAAATTAAGCTGACAATGAGTCAGCGATCAATCTCCATCCTATTTCTTTCTTTCACGGCAGCTTTAATATGTATGCTTGTTTGTACACCATTATCAGTCTCCCAAACGAGTTGTAAGTTCAACTTTAACGATTCAAACAGAAACAAATCTTATGACTGATGAGATTATGACCGTCATCTGTAAGTCCTGTCAAACACCCCATGCCGTCAATTATGAACTGTTGTGAATAAATTTAGCGATCAAAATGACCTTCGGCAAGCAAAAAACAAAAGAAAGCTACTCAGGTGCATAGAATTGCGTCAAAAGAAGGATATTGTTGTATAAAGTTCCGCTTTGCTGTTAGAAGATGACACGCAATTCAAGCCAAGACAGAAAGTTCCGCGTTGGAGTTACAATGAAAATACATTACGATAAACCATCTCTTGTTCGAGGTGTCAAATCTGAGGCCCACTATCCCAAAATTCTAAAATATTGTACAACAACGAATCGAAGAGAAAACTGCCGGTTCTTCCATCGACTGATTAGGTGATTTTGAGAAAATTTAGATCGCTCAACAGCAGATTTGTCTATTATTTAAGCAACTTAAATTACGCTTTAGGCTTTAAGAAATTAATTTCTTTGTACACAACGAACCTTTAGCTGCAGTTGTAGCTCCAAGGGTCTTCGCTCCTGTAGTAAAAGAAAAATAATTTAGCTTTTAAAAACAACCGGGTGTAATCAAACGGTACGGTGTTATGCAACATGATGCGAGACTTCAAGAGAACCATCAAACGGGCTCGGTATCATAATCGTTATTTTTGAACACTTCGTCTCAATATAAGTGAGCTTTAAAAGGGAGAATTTTTTCCTTACCCTCAGTCTTTTCGGGAACTTCGCTGGTCTTGTTCAAAACCTCCGACATCACAGGACATCTCTCGGCGTACGACACCAATACCGGTCCCCTCGCCTTGCGCACGAAAGACGACGGTACACGCGCCAGAAACGGACATTTCTTAGCAAGTTCCATTGTAGAAACACTCTTGACGGATTAGAAAACTGAACTGCTGTTGTTGCTTATGAACGTCGACGAAGAAAAGTCAATCAAAACTTAGGCGGAATGACACTGCAAACCCACACTGAATTTACATTTGCGACTGTCGGGTGCTATATAGTGCCTCACACACCAAATAAGGATATTACGACCATTTATGGGAATGGAATGTCACGCTTGATTTTATAATCCTCAGTGCTGCCCCGTGTGTGCGCTTTTCACAGCTGAAAACTCTAAAAATACATTCATTCTAAATTTTTTCTCATAGCAGATAAAAAGAGTTTTTCGATTATTACCTATCTATGATTGTCTTGGGAAGGTTTATTGTTCATTTTATAGTCTAACTCTCTTGGCACTTGTCTGCCGTTTATTGCTTTTCAATTCAGTACCACCCGGCTGGGGATGCCACCTAGAGGATGAGGCAAGGGTCGTGGGAATAGAGGCTGCAAGAGCTAGATAAACAGGATTCAAACTTGATTGGTAATGATTGACTGCTTCAAAAACATATTTTTACTAATTTAGCTATCACGGCTGTGTGAACATTTTAAAGATTTTTCCACAAAACGCGAGTCAAAGATATCACCTAAGGCACTTAAACATTCGTGAATTCATTCTTCGATATTGGCCATTAGCGGCCATAGGGAGGCTTTTAAAACGCGTCATCGAAACTCGCCGGTCCGGCCAATATTCCCTAGAGCGATATTGCACGCTTCCTTCAACACGAGCAAAACACCAAGTAATTTAAAATAAATGTTGTCCCCCGTATCGCCGAAATTTCTTAAGTGAGAATTTCTCTTTAAGCAGGTCACAGTTTTTTGGTTGACTGAAAGATTGTCAGTTCAGGCTTTCGAAAAATTTAATGTGCAAACACTGATGTTATGCTTGGACGATTCACTAAACCGGTACTACTCTTTGTCCTTGCATTCAAAGATTGTGTTGCTGTTTATTTTTACGTCAGCTCCCCCCCGATATTTATAAGGATTAAAGATTTTAATCTATTCCCTCTCTTTTACAGTGTAACAGTTTTCAGGGAATTTGGCGGTTTTAACCGAAACTTCTTTGACACCAAAAATTTAGCGCTTAGCACATCGACTCGCCCTGAAACCACCCCTTGGTTCGCTAATTAAGTCTGAGTCGATACGTCACCAAATAAAATATGGTAGCTCTTTTATTGTTCTAGAAAAAACGAAAACAAGACAGCTGCCATGTATTTTACTGAATTATTTTGAAGGCAATTTTACCAAACAGCGTTCAATAAGGTTTTTAACTAACAAATACAAACACACTTACACGACAACACATGCACTTATACGACCAGTTGTGATGTTTTCTCGTGACTCAGCGATACAGGTGTGTAATATTGTCTTATGACGTCAAGGAACTACGTGAGGGCAATGCGTTGGAATAAATAAAAATAGAATTCATAATATCGATCGGAGGACCTACTTTAACCCGTCTACCAACTTATTATTAGTTGAAATAACTTAGATGCACTACTTTTATTCACTTTTTATCAGGAAAGATAACCAAAAGTTTAAAGTTTGTCATTGTTTGTAGTTTGTTTCTCAGTGTGTATCCATAAGAGTCACTATCAAGTCAATACATACATAAGAAGATATTATTTGAAAAGAAAACCACACTGAGAAGACTTTATAGCCGCCAAAAAGCTCCAGTAGCGTAAATCCTCGAATTAGCGCCCGGAGCGCTTATTCCAAATTTAGGAGAAGACCTACGTGAGATCTGTTGCGACGGTCAATGTGCAGTGCTTGAATGAGTCGATAATCTCTTGCTTGTGACTGAACACGAGCAAAACAATACATCCTTTATTATCTCAGTAATCTTCCATAAAACAGGGGGAGGGGAGGAGGCGCTTATTCGAGGGGAAGCGCTTGTTTTAAATTTTGGTCGGCAGAAGGGGCGCTTATTCGAAGGGGGCGCTTAGTTGAGGGGCGGCGCTAATTCGCGGATTTACGGTAAGTACTGCTATATTTATAACTAGAGTATTTTGTTTGTGTAGTCTGGCTCATGCGATATCCGATATGTCCTATATTATTCAAAGTGCCGGCGAAATCATCTTGTTTTGGCATTTTTTGGAAGTTGGTCTTAAGAACGAAATGGATGACCATGTCAGTTGCATGTAATGACTGTAATGAACAGAATCCACGAGAAATCCCGTGACTGAGTGAGGACAAAAAACTGAACGACACAGATGTGGCCAATAATACTTGAACACGTAAACAACAACAAATAACCAAGATTTGAATTACAACAGTTATTATAAGGATGTAAATATCGACCGGCTGTATCATATCAGAAAAGTCAGACTAGCTCCTGAAATCGATCTTCAGGAATGGGGAAGTACGAAGTGAACTTTGTCGTTCAATTCAAATTTTAGTCAATTCTTTGGAGTTTCACGTTACAGAAAAACCATTTCACCAATTTCTGAGTACTTGCTAGCTAACTCGATAATTAACAGATTTCAGCCAGTAGAGGAGTTCACGCCGTAAGGGGCATTATGGGTAATCAGAGCAAGATTGCAAAGAAACAAAGCGACAAAATACACGTTTTCCTTCATATTTCCGTTTTGAGTTTCATTTTCGAGAAGAAACTTTTACTGTTAATAGAGAAACCCCTTTTCCACATTTACTAGTGTTTTTGAGTCCATTGAGCTAGGCATTATCCTACTTATCAGAGTAACGGAGATGTTATTTTTGTGGCTTGAGCGGCTAAGAAATTAACCGTAAAAAAAAATTCTTACGCCCACAACAATCACTCGATCGGCTCAAAAACGCTGGTAAACCTAGAGAAGGGGTCTCCCCGTCTACAATGTGAAATGAGAACTGAAATGTAACAATAAACATTTGTTTTACGGCTTTGCTTCTCTGTAAATTTGCCCTGATTACCCATAATGCCCCTTACAGCGTGAACTCCTCTTTTCTTCCTTTCAAGTGAATATAAGAAGAATGATATGCACCTATTTGAACTGCGCATCGCAGTTATATGCACAACTCAAGCACCTCTGAAATTAAAGCCTGAAAATAATTCAGACTTGAACGGGATTCGAACCCCTGGCCATGTACCTCTGCGATATCGCGAAAAGGCCTAAAATTTAGTGAAAAAAACATCAAAAATAAAATTATAGCTTTTGTAGCCTGCGTTAATTGACACTTGTACGTGCGTAGAATCAAATTGATTTTTCCCATGCTTCGTCAATGCGACTCTCAATGCTTACCCCAGAGAGGGAATTGGGTCTGAATAGAGGCATGGATCCTAAGCAATGTTTGATTTCCAAGATGGAGGGAAGTATTGACCGTAAACAGCGAGGAATTCCAAAACTTAGAGATATTTTACGACGACAAAGAAGAGAATCAGAGGTAACTAATCGAAATTGGAAATCAAGCTATTAATGGTTAGTTCAACTGAGTTATTTTTCTTTGTAGGGTCAGCTAGATTCCACTCCTGAAGTTGATTTCACTTATGACGATGCCGATAAAAAATCAGCAGAAATCGCAGGTGAGACGATAATTTCCTCGTGTAATTCTTAATCCACTTACTTCAATACTACCTTCAGAAGAAACGGCTTTAAAGTTTTATGTTTGCGGCAGGGATGGGTACAGAAGAAGGCACAAACATCTGAACTTCAACCAGGCTTACAAAGTCTTACTACTTTGTTTCCTGCAGAGCTTTACAGCTATACTGAAGAAAGTGAATTTAATTTCAACAGAGAAGCATTTGAAATAACAGCGTATTCACAAGGTAGTAACGGTAAAATAATTGTTAACAGTGTTGATGTGTGTTTTAGAGCAATTTTCACTTGAGTGTTGTAAAACCAAAACCAAAGTGATCACTTTAGCCAATCACAAAGGACACAGACAATACAGTGAACCAATCAAACCTCAAAGTAATTACATGCAGCTGATTCGAAGGATTGGAAAATGGGTGCAATTGAGTCACAATTGGTTTTAGTTTTACTTCTGATTGGATAAAAAGTGGCGCGAGATTTTTTAAGCTAATCGTGTAGCGTGGTAATGCAAAACCAATAACTTTTCAACACTCAAATGAAAACCACTCTATATGTAATGATTTATTGATCTTTATCAATAATCACTTGTTATAAATTGGCAGTTTTTTTAATAAATGTAAAACGTTTTTTTTTTTCAAATGTGTTCCCTTGATCCTTCTTCTTTTCATTTAGGGTATGACAAATGGAGTGAGATGGAGCAAAGTGAAAGAAGAAAGTTTTTGTTTCTTATCATTGAGAAATGTGAAGCAGCAGACCCTGACATAAGACTCACAGCAGCAAGAGTTTTACTTTATCTCGTACAAGGTATGCACTGTCAATATTTATATCATGCTATAGAAAATACAGCCAATCAGAATATCATTCCAACCATTGTATATTGGATGGTATCACATCCAAACTTCCCATCATACGCTGGGTTATGCTGCTTTGATTATGTCAGCCATTGTATTTTCTATGGCATGTTATAAAATAGTTATGCAATGCTCTCTTGTCGTTTACTTAATGCACATTGGATATGAGATGGTAGATGGCCAACGAGGCACGTAGTGCCAAGTTGGCAAAGGCTTGTGTGTATACCAAGAAAATACAAGTGGCTTGTGAGATATACCAGGGTGTACCACTTGAAAGCGTTGCGTAACTAATGTACACTCTATCTTGTTAATCTTTCAATTTTTCATTAAAATATGAATCTACAACTGCATAAGCTGGTTGGTTTTATTGCAAAATACCTAGAGAGTGAAGTCTGTTCAATAAATTCTTTTTAAACTCTGGGTGGTTGATGAATCTGTTCCTTATTTTCCTTTTTTTTCCTCATGGAGAAGAAGACCTCGGTCCCCTCTTCCTCTAAATAAATCTGTATTTAGTAGCAGTTTATGACACTCCTTCACAACTTAAATCTCAGTTCTGCTACTTTCTTCTTGAAAGTTAGAACTCCCCTACATGTCCCTGAGCCATCCATGATTTGGTACAATCTTCAGGTTGTTTTTTAGTGACCTTCACTGTATACAAGTTACCCGTTTATGGGGTTCTCAATATTACTCAGAGACATCTGCGTAAATACATCTAATAGTATGTGAAAGATGTAGTGTATAGTTTTAGAAGTTAAACCCAACCTAGAAGATTTTTGTTTTTATATAGTTGTGTCCTTGTTCTGTACATACTGTACTGTTCCTATTATGATTTTAATATCAATGACACCATAATTTACGCTGTATTTTTTTTAGGTAATTTTGGTGAAGTCAGTGATGAAGAAGGACAAAGAGAATGGGTAATTTCTAGCTGAATAATTTTCTTAACCAGCAGCGTTTGATTCCTTATAAACTGATCTCAACCTTACCACTAAACAAGTGACTAGTCAGTAGAAAGGGTAAAATCAACAGTTACATTTGCTGAACATGACAGATCAGCTGGTAAGCTACAGAACTGAGCGGGTTCCGCTGTTCTACAGTCTGTATTTCTAGTTATATTACAAAATCAACCAATCTATACAACCTGTACTTCAACTTAACACTGTCAATAGACCAATAGCTTTCCAACTGAAAAGAAATTTTGTTTCCTATTGCAAAATACTATTCATGCAGTGTTGAAAATTTGCTTTCCTGTTTTTTCTGGTTCCTGCCACCTTGGGAATCCCACTTCTCACCTGTTTGTCTCCTGCCTCCTGAGCCCCCCCCCNTTCCTGTCCCTGTCCCATGATCCTATCCCTCCAAAAACCATAATAAATCGCATTTTAACTTGTTACATGTCATTTTTTTGTTCTAACCTGTAAAATTTTACATTTCCTCTTTGTATTTGATTATAAAGCTTTGGATAGAGTCTCTAGCTGTGAAATATTTTCCTTTGCAGTCACAATTCAATGTGTTTTTCTTGTACAAGATGGGAGTTATGCCACTTGTAATTCAGTTGCTGAATGTAGAAATTGAGTGAGTCTTATAAATTTATCCCAAGAGGTAGTAATTTGTAGACTAATGGGATAACGTGAACTAAAGGCATCTGTGGCCGAGTGTCAATTGACCTTTGATCAACACTTGATTGATATCTTGGTCAACACTTGATCAACATGATCTCAATCAATACTTGGTCGACACTAAGTCGACACTGGAACAACCTCTTGATCAACACCCGATCGACATTCGATCGGTCGATATATGGCGAGTGTCAACCGACTCATACGTATCGTTTGCGTCTCTGCAAAAATTAGTCTGACAGACTCTCAACCAATGTTTGGCGCAGATGTCAATCAAGTGTCAATGGATGTGTCAATCGAGGGTCTATTGAGGGTCAATGAGGGTATCGATTGAGGGTATCGATCAACACTTGACCATGGATGCTTTTAGTACACATGATGTGACTAATGTATAAAAATTACCTTCAGATTGAAGAAAAGTTCAAAATAATGCTCAACCCTTTCAGGTCTAAGTTCAAAATGTTGGTTCTTACTGACAGCCATATATTTCTTGTAATGCCGGCTCTGAGAATTTGGTGATGCATCCAGGCCATGTCGCTAAATGGATGATTTTCTTTATTCCCATCACCTGTCTGCCTGATGATAATATCAATGTTGCAATGAGAAATTAGATTTTGATCAAGAAGTTTTATCGAGGAGTCTTACAATTTGAGGTCCCTTAAAATATTGTGTGGCAATATTAAGAACTGCATGTACAGTTGTAGATGCTGAAAATTTTATAAGAAAGAAAGTCTTGTGTCAAACCTTGAGTTCTGCATCATTAGTGGTGCTTACTAACTTTTGAGTCTTGGTATGAAATCCTAAAGTGTAGGACTTCAATGTTCAATGTTATTGAAAGGTTTTGAGCAGTAGTTTGATGTGGTACTGTTTAGTTTAAATGAAAAATTCACTGGCAGAGTTGATTTTGTGTTAAGAAATTCCAGTGCATTTTACTGTTTTCTTGGTTTAGGAATCCTGAAGCTGCAATATCAGCATTACAGAAGCCTTCTGTGTCTGTGGCTGATAGCGTCACATTAAGGTAAATCAATGAGAACATAATAATTACAATTTTACTTTCTGTTATTCTTATACCAAATTGCAGAATCTTCTATTTTATATGGTGGTCCATTCTTACAAGTCAGGCATAATTTTGCAAGTTACCAGTATTTTCATAAAACTATTTTTTTTTGTCTGTGGAGGCTGTCAAAACATGCCTTCCTTGAAACTTAAAAATGCTTCAAAAGTTGCTTTTGTTATTTAATTCCTAAACTTTTATTACATTCAATTAATTAGAGAAGATATTGGAAAAACACTTAAAATATTAATATTATGTATATAAACACTAGTACATGATAATGATAACAATAATGATAATGATAATGGTTACAAGATGATACCAAAATATCACATAATAGCATTAAATTTTGTTTTAAACTGTTTTATGGCATTACAATGCATATAATGTACTGGTCTGTTTGTTTTCTTCACAAATAAATATCTTTTTCCACAAATAAGGGTTTACCTCAACATTATCTACACCATTGTTGAGGTCATGCGCTGTGCAGATCCAGGTGATTCAGAAGACATAGCTCAAATACAGGAGATGTTTTTTGTGGAGCTAAGTAAGTAATCAGAATTCAAGATCAGTGTTCACAAGGATGTCCAGGAGTTCTAAACTGTTTTGTCTGTTCTTAGTCATTGACAGGTGGATACAGTGAAACCTGTGTTAAACAGACACCCTCTAATAAGTGGACACCAGCTTGAGTCACTAAATTTTCTTCCCACATTTACTGTAAAATAAACCTGCATTCAGCGGACACCTCTGTTAAGTGGACACGGATGCCAATATTAAGCCATTTTGGTGCACAAAGCCTGCAATAAGTGGACACTTCAAGGGCCTTTAATTCTAAGTGCTCAGTTAAGATTCCTTTAACATTGTTCATTGTCGTTTTAAACTACATGTAAGTGGATTATTCCAGATTGATGCATTGACTGACTGGACATCATGCTATGAGCAGTCTTTGATCTTACACTGGGTTACACTCTGTTACTAAAGGTTTTATAATTAAGTATTATTGCAGAATATATTAGACCCTGTTTAGAGTGGATACCTTGTATTAAGGAAACACTAGTGAGTGTCCCAAGGGTGTCCGCTTAATACAGATTTCACCATAGATTTTTCTCACAGCTCTCATTTGGGGGGTAGTAGAGATGGGGGAAGAAGTTTATAGTACAACTCAAACAAGCAATAGATTCAAAAGGTAATGGAGGCTACAAGTTTGTTTTGTGTATATGTGTAGGTATGAAATTACCTGGACGTGATGTTTCTGTTAAGATTGTTTTCTGGCGTCTTGTAGAGTTTGCAAGTCAAGAAATAACTTTAACAGCATTCTCAGGTTCAAAATGTCAGTGTTAAGTGTCAAGAAGTATTTATGAATATATAATCTAGCATGAAAAAATGTAGCACTGTAATGAATGCATTATACTCATCTGGTATAAATATTGGGATTGCATTACTTTACCTGAAAAAGCTTTGTACGAATAGTGTCATGCTGAGTGTTTAGATCTGATTTGAGTCACAAATTGCATCAGTGTCGAGCAATCAAAAGGAATAAATTCTTTATGTCAAGTGATCAAGTTTTCTGTCCTTCTCAGGTCAACCCATAGGTTGTGATGATCTGTTACCAATAATCTTACTGGAAATGATTTTAAAGTACTGTGCTGGTAGCTGTCCCCATTTTCCAATCAAGAAAATTCTTCTGCTCTTGTGGAAGACTGTTCTGGTGGGTCAAACATTAGTGTTGGGATCTTTACTGGCAAATTATAAGAAAACATTATTACCACAACATGCATGCATGTATTATTACCTGAAATACAACATTGTCAAGGCTGTGGTCTAAGAAAAATTATGAGGAGCCCAAAGGTTCCTGACCATGAAATCCTGTGTGCCCATCACTAAAGCATATATGAAGAATGTAAGTTTCTCTAGTTGCCCTAAGGCAAACGTTAGTTGCCTGTGGCATCTGGGTGCTTCTATAGCACAGCTCCGACTATACCAACGGGGTTGTCAAAATTACATGTGGCCACCTGCTAGTGAAAATCACTATCTACTTAGCAAGGCTATCAGTGGACATGGCTTGAAATTTTTTTTTCACCACTAAGAGGTACCAATTCTTAAACAACACATTATCTTCTGTCATATTTTTTTGGTTCAATACCCTAAAAGGTACTGCAAAAGCTCCCGCTGTGGACCTTTTGATGCTGAACACCCTAAGAGGTAACAAACCACTATAAACCCCGTAAAGTATGATGAGCACTCCCGGCCTTTTTATATGGGAGTCCCCCCTCCCCCCCTGGGAGACACCCCTCCCCCCCTGGGAGACAAGTCAGCTGGTAGAAGGATTTGCCCTCCCATACGCCATTTTACTTTTGCTTGAAGCAAGTTAACTATAGTTTGCTTCAATAATCAGTGAGTTGTAGATGGTGGTATAAAGTTCTGACCTTTATAGTTGACTCCCACAGCTCACAATGGTATGCGAGGAGAAATAGTTCAATCCACATGATTTGAATACCCATTGGTGAACACGCTGCAGAAAAGTTAAGGCATGGTGCATTAAAGAAAACATTTTTTTCAAGTGTGTAGTCAGAGGGGCATTTCATACCCTGTATCGTAATTTTTTTTGCACAGACAACATTAGGTGGAATGGAAGATCTAGCCAAGAGGAAAGAAGATGTCAGAATTGCTTCTGGCTTGCCTGCCAGCTATGAAATACAGTGCCCTCCCCAGCAAGCCATTGTCAAGGAGAGAACACCAGCTCCCCACACACCACCCCCAACAGGAACAGATAGTGACAGTAATGGTGAAATCCAGTGGGAGAGGGGTGAGGAGGACCATATCTATAGACCACCCAAGCTGCGGCCAAAAGTCAGGTAAAATCACTAGGAAATGTCATTGCTCCATGAGAATTTGATAATCAATCAAAACAATATCCCTGGTAGTCTGTCCTCTATTTTTGTCTTCCCTTCGCCCCACCCCCTTGCATTTTGGCTTGTTCATATCCCACACCCGGGGTTAACATTTTGCTAAGCTTGCGCTTTTTAGAAAACAAAATTCATCAACTTGACGTTTCGTATGTTTTGACATACATCTTCAGAAGTGACCGTTTGGAAAAGAAGTTGGCAGCGAAAAGCTTTATCTTTAATAGTTTGCATCTTTTAATATGCAAATTTTTCCCCAGCTTCTGTGATTGTTATTGTTAATTAGTTACTTATCTTTAATTTAAATTTAGTTGTTACTTCTATTCAGATTGTATCCCTGGCTGATGATCTTCTCAATTCCCACAGCTACCTGCTTGACATTGTATTGATGTTGTAAGGGGAATTTAGAAGTCGATCACTATTTTTTACAGGCAGAAAGATGTGGACGTTTTCCTGGATAATACAAGGAACAAGTTCGTTGGTTTTCAGTTGAGAGGGTGAGTGCCAGAACCAAGTTTCCTCCTATTTTTTGTTTGAAATTGCGTGAATATCTTCGTTTCAGTTAAAAATGCTCCTCTCCCCCCAGGGATGCCCATTTTTGTCCCCCTCCCGTTTTCCTCCTCTCCCCTTTTTCTCTCTTTCCCCACCCCCGGGTTCCCACTTGTCTAGTTCCCGCGCTCTTGCAAGCTAGTCCATACCAAGACTCTACTAACAGTACACTTGTCGCGTATAAAAACTTGGTACTTGAGAATAACTTTAATGTAGACGCACGTATACAATTTGATGTCCGCATATTGGCCAGAACACTTTGCCTGACTTGATCGACGAAAAACAACTCAATAACATGCGTCGCGAATATGGCACATGAAAATCACGAGCGATTACGTGCGACTGTTGTTTCTTGTGATAACTAACAGGTGCACAAGTCAAGGACGGTACAAATCCCGTAGAAATTGTTTTTCTTGCCATGACATTGTGATGTCTAATTGTTCTCAATTGTCATTCTTCGAGGTAAAATTTCTCAGCTAGACTTTTTTTAACGTGCGTGGAGTAGGAAGTTGTCGGCGCCTCGCATAGACCTCCGCTCATTTCTCGCCGGAGCGTTTTCGAGTGAAAAGACTAGACTTGTGTCTTGCAATGTTGTCTGTATGGATTTGAGCCAAGGCGCAACCATCGACCACACCCTCATCACGAGCCAGGCTGTAAGTATGGGTTATTGACCAAGTGTGAGGTCAAGATGGCTGGACATTGGCCAAGTTCTTTTTTTTGCGTGTTTATGGACCGAGAAGGAGTCGAGGTCCATAAACTCGCAAAAAAAGAACGAGGCCGATATCCAGCCATCTTGACCGAACAAGCTTGGTCAATAAAGGATTTATTATATGGCTTTTCGGGAAAATTTTTCTTGCGGGACACGGCGGGTAGTCCCGAGCGGACAAGATAGCTCCATCTTGCCCGCTCGGGTAGCCATTCACAGCGCAGGATTTGATTCATCTTGCCCGCTCACGGAGCTTTGTAGCCATATAATAAGCATGCTTTCTATTTTTAGTTTGAACAATTGATTTATTTCGGAGTGTAGAGTGACAACTGATCTGTAGTCACGCCATCGTACGTGCTGCACGAGTAACGCAATTAAATTGGCTCAAGTCCAGTGACCGCAGTATCAATTCCTTCGAGAAGTTTTCCAGCAGGTCTTACTTCAAAATCGGAAATCTGGACTTAACTGGTTGTTATTTTGCCATATCCGTTTTCGTGTTGTACAAAAGGATTTTTTTGAGTACTTTGTTGTTCTTTTTCTAACGAAACGCTGCCCTGCCAGGTGTATCGCAACGAAACAGGTGTACCTACTTTATTATCCTCGAGACAAGCCCTTAGCCTTTTCAGAGTTTACAAACACAGAAGATGTACATATATCTAATTTAGATTCCGTTCGTGTTCGGAATTCTCTTCAGTCGGTCATATCAAGACTAGTCGTGCATGCTTATATCTGCCCATATGTACCTCCCCCGTGTATGCTAACAAGATAATGTTCATTCGATAAAATATTTTGTCCCATCCGCAGTTATTTTTAGCTGTGAGTTTGTCTCATATTTGGTCACGTAATTCAATCAACTTGTCACTGGCATGTCTTTTGCACAACGCCATTTATTTAATTCATTTATCGTAAGTATCTCTTAGAAATGAAACATTAAGTTTTGACAATTTATAAATATATCGATCTGCACGGACAACAAATCTAAACTTTTCTTTCTCTCATTTGAAACGTTAGCTATTAATTAAAAGCTTCTTAGATGTAATTCAAGAAGTTTCAATTAAATACTGACAGCTCCTTTTTTCGAAAATAAACAAATTTCTGAGGAGTGTCGTACTAACGTACACAATTACTAAGTTAGAATTTCTTTTTTTATTTTTGGGCGTTCTGCAACGCATCGTTAAGCTCGCTTAATTATCTAAGCCTGTTCGTTGGTGATACACATCAAAACACCATTAGAATGTAAATGATCCTCGATTTCCTTTCATTAATTCCTCACTTTAACCATAAAAACAGTTTGTGAACCAATTGGTGGTCCATTGCAGTCTATGTCAACACATAACTCAACTCGTCTAGAAGGCGAAAGAAAAACACCATTATCTTCCTATAAATAAAATAACTTGCACAGTCAAACGGGCGGTGATAACGCACGAAGTTAAAATGTCAACGACAGAATTGTTTAAATAACACTGATAAAAAAGAGAGTTCACGAAGTTAAGTTCAGCTCTTCTCCACATGAATACTGGTGCTTGAGTAAAAGCGACATTCGCGAAAAAGAACGTGAGCATTGATTACAACAGTATTTTTTCACCGCTGAGTGTGTTTGCAAGTGCGCTCGCAAGTTTGAGCGGTCGGCGAAGGCACGCTGGCAGTTGGGGCATTTATAAGGCTTTTCTCCCGTGTGCGTGCGAATGTGACCCTGTAATAACCACGGACGACTGAACGCTTTTCCACAGATCGTGCATTTACACGGCAAGGTGTGCGTACGTATGTGCATTTTCAGCGCTCCTAAGGACACATACGTTTTCTCGCAGTACTTGCACGCGAATTCTTTACGTGGGTGTTGGTGTTTTCGTAAAGCAGACTCGGTGACGAAACTCCTCTCGCACTCGTGGCATTTATGTTTCTTTATCGCGCGCCCCTTCGTGGGAGAAATCACCGATTCCTTGTCGTCTTCTAGTGCCTCTTTACCAGTGAAATCTGCGGGCTTCTCCTCGCATTTCGAAGTTGCTTGCGTTGCAGTTGTGTGGACGTGACCTTGCAAAGTGTAGGATGTAACTTCAGCGGGATAAAAATGTGTCGTCCCAAACCCAATCCATGGCTGCAATCTTGTGGTTTCGTGAACAGATTTTGATAGAACGGAAGAATCTGGCATAGTTTTGCTTTCGAGGTCAAACTGGCGACCTGTTGGCGAAAGTGAAAGCGTGTGACTTGACCATGTGCTATAACAATATACGCAATACCTGTGAAATGCTATTTAGCTTTCGTTTGCTTCTCAAAAGAGCAGTTAAAAGGTGTCAGAACGATTTGCGCAAATTACTTACGGATTTTAAAGGCGAGGTTGTGATGTATTTTCAAGCTAACGTGTAGATTTAGCGAGCAGTGTTTGTTGGCATTCATACACTTGTTACCCACAGCGCTCCCGACAAGTGCACGGAAAAAAAAATCACATCTCACCTTTCGCTTTTGTTTCACGCTGCGCGCCTTTGGTAGACTTCTCTGGCTTCTTCTTCACTAGGAACGATCGAGGCATGTTGATTGCGTCTTTGCAAGTCTTTACAAGCGAAATACTGCTACGATCGAGCTCTAAGACGAGTTCGATCTTGGAGGGTGTAATCACCTGAACTACACAACACCGCTTTACCAGAAACTGTGTTGCCGACGAGTGACGTCACAGATAATCAGTTTTAGATCTGTCCAATTGTGTTGTGATTGTTCAGTCACTTCCAGGCAAGCTGTCATAAAAAACAAGGCACTACCATGCAGGAATGCTCAAGCTGGGGCAAAGTGCACTTCTAGCAGATCCGGCGCATAGCGGTGATTTCGAGTCTAAACAATCTGGGATGAATTCTGTGGCCAGTTGAATTTCTCTGGGACCAATGCACGGACTAAGATTATTATTGACAGGAAGTCTTCTCTCGAACGTGGTTAAATCTAAAGTGGAATTTATTTGTTGTCGATGTGTTAGGGTCGGCCTGTGATATCAACAGGTGTTAAATCTCAACATTGTTTTGTCGAAGGAGAAAGCGAATTTGGTTTTTGTGGCGTTTTATTAAAGTGACGACGGATCAGAGTTACAAGGTTAAAACAATTTTTTTGTTCTAGCAACTTCTTGTCGTTTGAATTTAACAAGCAAAAATTCCAGAGCATCAATTATGTTTTTTTCAGAAACATACGCTCCATGTGCAGAATTAGTGACTTTTTTCTTCATTCTGACACTCAAGGATGTCGCCGAAGTGTTATTATTTATTGATGATATCAATTCGACTTAACTGCGGTTTTGGCTGGGGCGCAAGAGAAATCAAATCCTCTATATAAAGAAGAAATTCTAAGCTTGAAATGACCGCGGGGTTTATTAAAGAAAACAATGAAATACGTCTATGATCCACACGTGACAAAAATATCGAAGAACAACTACCACATTTGCGGTTTAACTGTGATGAAAACTTCCTTGACTCCTACGGGGACTGTAGGATTTGATATCTTGGTTGTTTCAACCCTTTTAATTAACTCTATTCGCTTTACTACATGTATCCGTGTTCATGGGTGTATGATAATTAGGTATCTCTGTGTTGCTATTGTTTCAACATAATAAACCATTGTTCGCCTTGCGTCAGGGGTCTTTCGAGTAAAACGAGGATGAAATTGTGCGCAAAACGTTCTCGTTGACAATGCCTCTTGGATTAAAAAAAAAAAAAAAACACCCGCCTTAACCTTTTCTTTCAAACCTGTTGTGGTTTATCCTGTTGGATACAAGGTAACTCTTTATTGTAAACGAGAAAATAAATGCGTGGCAGATTGATGATGAAAAGAGAAAGCTTTGACAAAAACGATGGAGTAAGGCCACGTAACTGTTCGTGTTCTTCTTTCGTCGCTTTGTCAAGAAAAGAAGTACCTCAAATTTGATTCACGTTTTAATTCATTGTGTTGCAGAAGTTTACTTTCATCGTAGAAGCCATTATTTAACGCGAACTGCCTATGATAACTATTACTACTTTCCTTCGGTTAAAGAAGCTTAGTCACATTTTCTGTTATTTTGGCCACGTACAAAGTTAATTTAAGTTGAAGGAAAGATGGAAAAGCAACAAAGAGATAATAATAAACCACAAAGGAACAAGGATGGTTTAGGATGGAGAAGATTGACACGGATTACAAACAGCGAACTTGAAAAATTTAGGCTAAACTTTTGAAGTAAACAGGTGGACTTTTAACACGCCCAGATAGGCTCAGCCATTACTCAGCCGTTTACAACTTCCATGCATCCTAATGTACAGTGCTAGGCAGCTGAGAAAAACTTCTTTAAGTCGTCATCTTAGAACACTGTTGTGTTTAATATCGTTTTTCTTTGCAATAGATCTGCGCCAACACTCCTTGGCAACTTAAAATTGTGATACATACTCGATGTACTTACAATTTTCCCACTGTCGTAGTGTTTCAAAACCTTGTCCATTCGTTTGCTGTCAGGGCCTTAGCCAGAATAAATTATGAATAAATTAGGTATTTAAGTTGTTTATGTTGAGTGCATTTAAACACAACTCTGGGATCACGGAAAAAAATGACTGAGGCAAGTGCGTCGGTTTGCCTCATACTGGTTACGGCCTTGGTAGTTTTAAGTAGACAAAAAAGTTGTTTTACTGTGTTCCGTGCAGTAAAGAAGTCATGAAAAGGTCGTCTGTGTTGAAGTTGTATTTCGTATTTTGCTTTCGGATATAATCAAGGTTTTACTGGCAGATGCAGACTTTTTGTTCTAAGGGTTAGCGAGATAAGAAAACCGTCTCCATGGGTAAACAAAATGAGAATAAAAGGGAGAAGGGAAACAGAAATTGTGAAGCTAAATGTGCAGTACGTTTTATGTGAAAAAATTCTTCATTTTGCATTCAGTTTTTTCAAATATTTTGCCTTTTTGAAGGTGTTCCGTCCTTGAAACTACGACCTTCACACTGACACATTCAGGGCTCATTAAATTACATGTATCACCTGTCCTTAAAAATAACAGTTCGAGGTGAATGCTGTATCTACAAATAGATCATGACTGTTGATGTGTTTTGAATCAGCTAGGATTTCCAAACATGTCAACAACTTCTCTCAAATTTGATACAGAGATCAGTTGTACAGCTGAGGTCAAATTATTTGGTTTGCCGGGGTAGATCAGACAGAATCAACATGCGAGGCACCATAATTTACCCCACGTTTTCGATATATTCTATCAACTGTTTTGAAGTACTATTCACTAGAAGCTAACCTCCACTGGAGTCAAAATTAGGGGAGCAGGGATGACGCAGCGGTGAGAGCGCTCGCCTCCCACCACATAGACTGGCCCGCCTAGACTACCATAGCTATCCGCGAGCTAGTCCAACTGTAAAATGAACATTTATTAAGAAATAAAAAATGATTGATTGATTGATTGATTGGTTCGATTCCGGCTCGGTGCCTTATGTGAGCTGAGTTTGTTGTTGGTTCTCGCCTTGCTCTGAGGGTTTTTCTCTGGGTTCTCCAGTTTTCCTACCTCCACAAAAACCAACAACTCCAAATTCCAATTCGACCAGGATAGAGGATAGACTGATGTGGCTTCCTCTCTAAGTATAGTATTTTTTAAAAATAACTTGCTTTAGAGTCCTTTCCCTGAAAGAAGGCTAAACTAGAAATTTTAAGCATTTGGAAACACCGTTGGATATCTTAGTAGCATTACTAGATTCTTTATCTTGTGGATTAAAAATCTTCTCCCTACCAAAGGAATTTCCTAGCAGGACATCTCGCTAACGAACGAACTAAGCTTATTTCTCCTAAACCATTGTTGTACAGTTGGCGCGCAGGTTACGTGTCAGAGAAAGAAGTTGACTTATCGTTTACATTTATTTTTAGCCGGAAGTTTACGTCTTTTGCTAAGTTGAAATTATCTTGTTTTGGGACAAATTATTGAGNCCAGGATACCTGCAATGTGGCCGAAACATCCGGAGACTGAACTGAAAGTTATCATGCAAATCGGAAATTTTCGTGGATTCTTTTCTGGAATTGTAGAGTATCTCAAATGAAACCTGCGAACGTTGACAACGTAAATGCTTGGTTGAAAACTAATTCATAAGTATAAGTCAAAGTCAAAGTCAAAGTCAGGACACTTTGCGATATTGCTGCGCTCAATATTGAAGTCGTTTTCTTAATTGTATAATATTGCTCGTGACAATTTCAACTTGTGTCTTAAATCTGTAACAAGTCTATAATCTCTGCACAAGACGTGGCACACTCAGTCATTTCCGTCGCTCGGGGAGGCAGCGCAGCCGAGTGGTTAGGGCGCCGGACTTGAAATACGGTGGTCGCCAGTTGTTGTTTCTCGGTTGACCTTACTTCAACTCCTCGGTCATACTTGTAAATAGCCAACTGTTCTGCCTCCACTCTCTCTGTTTTTGACTTGCTTAAGATAAGATAAAACTGCACAGCCGCAGTTTATTTTTCTTCGCTTTTTGGTTTGGCCACCATCCCCATCTTGGCTACGTAATAACGATAACCATCAAAAATTGCTTCTGTCGTCAGTAATGAGTTGTGTTGAAGATCAGAAAATTAATAGTGTTTCCATGTAAGAAGATATCTGCCTATAAACGAGGTTGTCAGACTCGGGCAAACCCAAACGAGAGAACCTGCGCGCGGGCTATGATTATTCCGTTTTGAAAGGCGATCATTTCAGTTGTTTTGGTGTTTGAATGTTTTAGTGAATTTTCCGTACTTAATTCCTAGAATTAGTAGGTAAATCACAGCAATAACCCATAGCCGATGATTTTTTAAAATCCCATCACCTTTCTGCTAGATAAAGTATCGATATTGTAAGAAGAAATTAAAATTTTATGATTGTGAGCTCCGGTTATAATCTCGCTTTTATCTTTGCAGAGATTCCCAAACAATTGCTGGTCTTCCTGGTCCGATACACGAAGGACTGTCAATTCTCAAGAAGGTAAACAAATGATGATATATTTTTAAACCCGCAAACGAAAACTAGAGTCGACTGAGTTGGGCTAAAGCTTTCTTCAACTCTCATTGACTGTAATTAGCGAACTTAAACAAAGGCTATTATAACTAAGTTTGTACGCGAGTACGTCACGTCCGCGTTTCCGAAAGCTTTCTTTTTCGCTGGCATGGGTCATCACTGATAGGATAGGACTCCGTTTACAAATGTCTCCACTCTGGGCAGCATTTTCAAATGCAAGCGTTTTCGATCACTTTAGGTGTGGATTGTAGGCAAAAAGTTATAATTAAATATTGGTTTTTAAAATTTAACTGAATAGAGAGGTTAAGCAAACCACGACGGCAACGGATTGGAGAACGTCACCAGATAAAAGTCTTAATGAGCAGAACTATGGCTGTGCACGTGCGTTATAAATCTTTGTATATTTCTTTGCCGTCCCCTGTGCAACATCAACGTGAAATGACTAAGTTGTGGGTATTTTGGAGAACGCGAACGGCGGCGGGTAATTTTTCGTAATTTCATTTGTAATTGAACGCTTGCATTATATAATTAGCTTGAGCAAGTTCTGAGACCAAAAGGCGCACTGAACAGATCAAGACAATTGCGAAATTCGAAGATAAATAAGTAATTTTTCACAAGGCGTTGTCCTCGGGTTCGCGGTCGTGATTGCTTGAGCCCTGTAATAACGGTGGATGGGACGACAAGCGTTGCTGAACAAAAGGTATATAGAGCAGACACTGCTCGTAACAATGACTCCTCTCCAGAAAGAGAGATCCATAACAGTTTGGTACAGATGTCACGGACACTCAAAATTAAATGTTGGGTGAACTTGGCACAAAATGTGGCGATTTTATAGTAATCCAGTGTCAAATAATTTGCGCAAAAAGTAAAAACTGAGTTTCGAAGCAGTTTACATGTACACTAACTTAAATCAAAATTGTGGGATGTAGATTTGTCTGGAGGTTCGTTGGCGGTTGTTGAGTGTGTCGTAATTTTGTCAGTTAAGTCGGGTCACAGTTCACAGGTATTCGCAGATAAATCTAGTCTATGAACTACTCAAAACGCAATTGCATGCTCCAAGCGAAACACCGAATTTTGACCTTACTGTTTAGCTAGCCAGTTTAGCCAGAAAATAACGTAAATAAAATCGTACGTGCATGAGCTACCTCCTGACGTCCGGAGAAACTAGAACAATTATTTCCTAAAGGAGGTCTTGATAAGACGAAAACCGATTATTAGTGTCTCTGGCCCCTGTTGTCGGAAAGCCGATTAATACTAATCAGGGATTAAAAGTTTACAATGTTTTATTCCTTATGTACACTTCTATTAATTTCAGAATACAGTTTGAGACTAGTCAAAGTCAAAGTTCAAGGGTAATTGCAAAATTTCGGAAATCATAAGTTTGCCGTGAATAAGCTTAATCCAACTTCGTTTCCAGAGTCTCCCTTAGTCCCGGAAACGCAGTCCGACTTAGCCCGGATTTGAGGGATTTCAATGGAGATTCGTCTTGGAAGGCGCTTCGTGAATAAACTTGCTACTGTTCTCAACTGTTTCGTTCAAAATCCGCCTTAATCTTCCTCAATCCTAGCCATCCTTTGCTTCTCGGTTGATTACATCATATTTATGATTACATCTTTGGGTTTTTTTACCTTCCAATAGTATTATCGAATGCTGTTGTTAAATGTAACAATGAATTTGTGGTTAAAGTTCGAGGCTGGTACATGTAAGAGATAAAACTAAATAGCTCAGGCTGATTAGTACTGCAATTTTATGTGACTTACATTTCTTTAAATTTCTTCTTTCTTCTCTCCTTCAGCACATGTATGTTTCCCTCTCGGAAATTCAAATCAAGGAAGAGGAAGACGCCATGAACAGACCCTTCACAAAGGTAACATGTTGCACTTCTTTTTTTTTTTGAATGAATTAAAGATGTATCGCTATTAGGGAGGTTAAGCAATCCACGACAACAACGGCAACGACGTCACCAAAAAATGGCTGTGCACGTGCGTTATAAATCTTTGTACATTTCTCAGCCGTCCTCTGCGCAACAACAACGTGAACGAATGACTAAGTTCTGCGTATCTTGAAGAACGCAAACGGCGGCGGCTAATTTTTCGTATTTTTCATTGCATATTTTGCTTGAGCAAGTTCTGAGGCCAACAGGCGCACTGGACAGATCTTGACAAATGCGAAATTCGAAGGTGAAATATAAATTAATTTTTACTAGGCGTTGTCTTCGGGATCGCCATTGTCATTGCTTAAGCTCACTATTGGTTAGTCAATAAAGGAGTCGTTATGTCGATCACTAATAATAATTTTGTAAATTTAGCATCCGTTACATGTTTTTCCGCGCTCGGCACTTGCGACACGTTTCCCGCGCTTTGCACAGGTTACGTGGTTACATGTTTTCCGACGCTTTCTCCTTGGTCTCTGCTCGCTTGATATTGGAAACGACCGAGAACATAATTTGTGTTAATCCTTACTGGGGTAGTAGTAAAACCTTAGTAGACTAGGTCTCGATTTTGACTGCTATTTTTGATTGTCTAAGATGGTCAAGCTTCTCTGTGTTTTTCATTGTTAACTGACGAACTTTTGCATCTTTGCAGGGAAAAGTCAACATCCCATCAAACAGGGTGGAACAGTTATACGAAGCTATGCTTCCAAACCTGCCACAATATGTGGTAAGTCTTGCTCTTCACTGAGTTGGACGCGGGGGATAGGGGGTCTGAACATCCCCCTTTCTGTAGTCCCGTATATTTCCCCCGACTCTCCTCCCCTTCCTTTGTGACGCCCACCTCTTTGTGCCTTTTGTATTGCAATATATTGAATTTCTTTCGAATTTTTTCCTATTTCTTGCAGTCCCCGTAAAAGCGGAAGTTTCGCTTCCCGCCCTCGCTTCTACCGCCTCCCGTAGACTTCCCGCCCCTTTTATTCCTGGGTTCCCGTCTCTCTTTCCCCTCCACTCAATCGTTCCTGGCGTTAAGAAGCCCGCTAAACATCAAAGAAGCAAACAAACAGGCTACGATTTATGTTGGAAGGTCCTTAACCCTGGACATCTATTGTTTCATGCTCATAGACTATGCAGGAATTACATAATCGCAATGCTTCTGTTGGTTAGTTGTCTAAACACATAACCACCTTTTCTATTTTGCCAGGTTTTATGCAGGGTCAACCCCCAAAATAGCCAACAAGAACATACAACAAAGAAAAACTTTGCCAGGTTTCCTAACCATTCCCTCTATTAACTATATCTAGAGCCTTAAGCTTGATCTAGAGCGAGCGATTAACAAAAGTATTGTTCCCTTTTCATACAGATCGCCGTATTAAAGATCCTCCTCGCTGCCGCACCTACCGCCAAACCTAAAACTGAATCCATCAATATTCTAGCAGATGTGTTTCCACAGGATATGCCGTAAGTCGTGCAATTTAACGTTCTTTTGTTCAGTAAGAGCTACGTTACGGTAGAACTGCGCGCCCTCATTTTTCAAGCCTTCGTTTAATAATCCTTGTCAATCTGTTCCAATTTTAACCATCTTTTTACCCTGTTGGTTTATTTCTAAGTCCTAGGCAGATTTCTAGCTAACGGAACTATCATTTTTTTGTGAGTAATATCTCGTCAACTCTATTACATCATAAAAAAAAAAAAACAAAAAATAAATTATAATTTGCTCCTTAGAGTTGAATCAATATGTGAGATCGACGTGGACGAAGAAAGCAATTAACTTACTGTAGGTTCTCAGAGGATGCTTTTTGTGGCCACGAGCTGTTGAACTGTTGTTTTTCAGCTGAGACAGGAGACTCTTGAACAAATATAGTTGGAAAGGACATTTACTGCACGAGGTCTTGGAGGTGAATCCCTCTAGAGTGAATACAGTCCGCCGTTTTTGTGGTGGACTATNATACGAAGCTATGCTTCCAAACCTGCCACAATATGTGGTAAGTCTTGCTCTTCACTGAGTTGGACGCGGGGGATAGGGGGTCTGAACATCCCCCTTTCTGTAGTCCCGTATATTTCCCCCGACTCTCCTCCCCTTCCTTTGTGACGCCCACCTCTTTGTGCCTTTTGTATTGCAATATATTGAATTTCTTTCGAATTTTTTCCTATTTCTTGCAGTCCCCGTAAAAGCGGAAGTTTCGCTTCCCGCCCTCGCTTCTACCGCCTCCCGTAGACTTCCCGCCCCTTTTATTCCTGGGTTCCCGTCTCTCTTTCCCCTCCACTCAATCGTTCCTGGCGTTAAGAAGCCCGCTAAACATCAAAGAAGCAAACAAACAGGCTACGATTTATGTTGGAAGGTCTTTAACCCTGCACATCTTTTGTTTCACGCTCATAAACTATGCATGAATTACATAATCGCAATGCTTCTATTGGTTAGTTGTATGAGCACACAACCACCTTTTGTATTTTGCCAGGTTTTATGCAGGGTCAACCCCCAAAATAGCCAACAAGAACATGCAGCAAAGAAAATCTTTGCCAGGTTTCATAACCATTCCCTCTATTAACTATATCTAGAGCCTTGATCTAGAGTGAGAGAGTAACAAAAGTATTGTTCCCTCTTCATACAGATTGCCATATTAAAGATCCTCCTCGCTGCTGCACCTACGGCCAAACCTAAAACTGAATCCATTAATATACTGGCAGATGTGTTTCCACAGGATATGCCGTAAGTTGTTCAACGTAACTGTCTTTTGTGCAGTCAGATCTATATTACGGTAGCGCGACGTGCCTTCAGTTTTCAAGTTTATCGTTTGTTAATCCTTGTCAATCTTCCCAGGTCTTAACCAGCCTTGTACCCTCTTGGCTTATTCCTACGTCTTAGTTTTCTAGCTAACGAAACTATCATTTTTTGGAGTGTAATATCTCATCAACTCTGTT